GCAAATGTGTTATGTTAAGAGAAAGAAACCACAATCAAAAGGCTGTGTATTGATTGGGTGGCACCTTGTGGCTGAAGGGCGGGCGCTGGCCCCATATGCCAGAGGTGGTGGGTTCAAGTCCAGCCCTGGCCAAAAACTGCAAAAAAAAAAAAAAAAAAAAGGCTGTGTATCCAGCCTGAGCAAGAGAAAGACCCTGTCTATACTAAAAACAGAAAAATCAGCTGGGTGTCGTGGGAGCTTGTAGTCCCAGCTACTCAGGAGACTGAGCCAGGAGGATTGCTTGAGCCCAGGAATTTGAGGTTGCTGTGAGCTAGGCTCATGCCATGGTACTCTAGCCTGGGTAATGGACGTAGACTCTGTTTTACAATGAAACAAAAAATATGAGGATTGGGAGTGCAGGATCTTGACTATAAAGGTACAAGGGCAAATTTTGGACTATTGTGGTAAGAACACTTAACATGAGATCTATCCTTCTTAACAAATGTTTAAATGGCTGGCATGGTGGCTCACGTCTGTAATCCTAGCCCTGTGGGAGGCTGAGGAGGGAGAATCGCTGGAGCTCAGGACTTTGAGATTCACCTGAGTGAAAGTGAGACCCTGACTCGGGAAAAAAATGGAAAAACCCAGCTGGGCGCTGCGGGGAGTGCCTGTAATCCCAGCGGCTTTCGGAGGCTGAGGCAGCGGGATGCCCACAAACTGGAGTCTGAGGTTGCATTGAGCTACCTGCACTCTGCTCAGGGGCATAGGGTGGGACTCTGTCTCAACAACAACAACAACAACAAAACAAACTCCAAACCACAAATGTTTAAATGTACAATACAGTTTTGTTAACAACAGGTGGAACATGGTATCACAGATGTGCAGAACTTACTCACCTTGCATAACTAAACTTTCTATCTGTTGGATATGGACTGCCTGTTTCCTCTTCTCCCCTCCCCCACCCTGGCTCCTGGCAACCACTGCTATTGGCTGTGTCTATGTGTTTGCCTATTTCAGATACCTCATATAAATAGAACTGTGCTACATTTGTCTTTCTGTGACTGATTTCATTTGGCATAATGTCCTCAAGGTTATCCATATTGTTGCATGTGACAGGATTTCCTTTTTTAAATGGCTGAATAGCATTCCATTGCATACTACATTTTTTTTTTTTTGAGACATAGTCTCAGTTACCCTGGGGTTGAGCTCTGTGATGTCATAGCTCACAGCAATCTCAAACTCTCGGACTCAAGTGCTTTGCTTGCCTCAGCCTCTCAAATAGCTGAGGCTATAGGCACCTGCCACCATGCTTGGCTAGTTTTTCTATTTTTAGTAGAGACAGGGTCTCTCTCTTACTCAAGCTGGTCTCAAACTCCTGAGCTCAGGCAATCCACCCACCTCAGCCTCATAGTTCTAGGATTACGGCCACCGTGTCCAGCTGCATGCTACATTAAAAAAAAATCCATTTATCTGTTGATGGACGTGTAGGTTGTTTCTAGGTGAATAATGCTGCAATCTGTATTATCTCTTGATTGTGGCTGAGTTACATGACTGTATGTATTTGTCACTCTAAAAAGGTGAATTTTACTACATGTATATGATACCTATTTAAACAAAAAGAGAACAGCAAAACAAACAAATTATTCCTGTAGATTACTTACTGGTCATAAGATGTGAAACATACCTTTTACAATGGCAGAGGCCTGGCTTGGCGCCTGTAGCTCAAGCAGCTAGGGTGCCACCCATGTACACCAGAGCTGGCAGGTTCGAATTCAGCCCAGGCCTGCCAGACAACAATGACAACTACAACCAAAAAATAGCCGGGCGTTGTGGCGGGCGCCTGTCATCCCAGCTGCTTGAGAGGCTATGGCAAGCGAATCGCTTAAGCCCAAGAGTTGTAGGTTGCTGTGAGCTGTGACGCCATGGTACTCTACCCAGCTTGAGACTGTCTCAAAAAAAAAAAAAAAACAAGAAAAGAAAATAAAAAAGAAATGACAATGGCAGAGGCCTCCACCTTGACCAATTTCAGCCTCACTAAAGTGGGAAGACCAGCTATGGGATGCTTCTTCGTGTGATACAGTTCATAGTACAGAGCAACATTTAGGAGGTGTCCCTCAGTAGATACATAATCAAGCCTTTAAATCTTATTGAAAACTACAGATAGAGGAACAAGTTAACAACACAAGAAACATTCAGACAAATCCAGAATGTGATGGAGTATCTATTTCTAAGAACTGGCTTGGACTCTTCAGAGAGGTCTATAGCATGATGACCAAAAAAACAAGAAAAAGGTGGGAAGGCCAAAGTGTGGTGGTCCATACCTGTAATCCTAGCACTCTGGGAAGCCATGGTAGGAGGACTGCTTGAGCTCAGGAGTTCAAGACCAGGCTGAGCAGGAGCAAGACCAGAGCCCAGGAGTTTGAGATTGCAGCGAGCTATGAAGACACTATTGGATTCTAGTCTAGGCAACAGAGCAAGACCTTGTGTGAGGACCAGATCAGCTCCATTTTGTTGTTTCCACATAAGTTCTGTTCCTGGGTCCTGGCCTGCAGGGCCCACCCTGTAACCCTCCTCATTCCATTAAACCACACCCGCAGGGCCCACCCTGCAACCTTTCTCATTCCTTTCATAGTTACTCAACCAAATAGTATCACCCTGGGCAACAGATAAGTTTCTGTTACCTTGAAATACAGGTAACCAGGTTGCACCAACTCTAGCCCCCGGTTAAGGGACCCTCCACCCCTTACCTGTATCAATCCAAATCCTCCTTTACTAATGAAATCACCAACCACCAATGAAAAGTGTACTCGTATCCGACCCTACCCCTCTTGCTTTCTGTACCCCATAAAAACTGTCTTCACCCTGAGTTCAGGGCTCATCCTCTGCTTGCATGCCAGGAGAGTCCAGGCCCGGGGCCCCCGGGCTTCCCGGGTCTGTAATAAATCTCATCTTATGCCCTTTACATCGGAGCGAGTCTCGAGTTTGTCGGTTGGGGTTAATTTGGGAGGTTTTCTCGGACCCAACACTTGTCTCAAAAATAAAAAACGGGGGGTTGGCAGTGGGATAGAGTGAGGTGGTTCTATCTAGATTAAAACTTTTTTTTTTTTGACAGAGCCTCAAGCTATCGCCCTGGATGAAGTGCTCTGGCATCACAGCTCACAGCAACCTCCAACTCCTGGGCTCAAGCAAGTCTCCTGCCTCCACCTCCCAAGTAGCTGGGACCACAGGCACTTGCCACAATGCCCGGCTATTTTTTGGTTGCAGCCGGCATTGTTGTCTGGCAGGCCCAGGCTGGATTCAGCCTTTGGCTTGGCGCCAGCCACATACACCTAAGGTCGCGGGTTTGAATCCAGCCCGGACCCGCCAAACAACAATAATGGCTACAACCAAAAAACAGCTGGGCGTTGTGGCAGGCGCCTGTGGTCCCAGCTATTTGGAGGCTGGGACAGGAGACTCGCTTGAGCCCAGGAGTTGGAGGTTGCTGTGAGCAGTGAAGCCATGGCACTCTACACAGGGGGACAGCTTGAGGCTCTGTCTCAAAAAAAAAAAAAAGAATTATTAAAGAGACATATAATCCTTGATTGGAATCTGCCATTAGAAAACAGCTATAAAGACAATTTGGAGATAATCGGGAAATTTGTTGACTAGCTATTAGATGATATTAAGAATTTATTGTTAACTTCATTAGGTGTCATAAGGTGGCTTTGTAGGAAACTGGGTTTTATTTTTACTTATTTTCTTGTTTTTTAGAGACAGGGTCTCACTTTGTTGCCTAGGCAGAAGGGCAGTGGCGTCATCATAGCCCACGGCAGCCTTGAACTCATGGGTCAAATCATTCTCCTATCTCACTGTCCCCAAGTGCTGGGATTACAGGCATGAGCCACTGCACCTGTCCTGGAAATTGGGTATTAGAAATGCATGCTAACATATTGGGATTGAAATGTCATGACTTTTCTAATTTGCTTTAAAATACTTCTGCTAAAATAAATGAATACATAGAGGTAGGGAGGAATATAAGTGGTGTGAAGGAGGGGAGATGGCTGTGGTTCAGGCTCACAATCAGAATAACATGCAAACTCCTGACATGCTCTCCCCCAGAAGTGTTTGTCTCTCAGACCTCACCTCCTAACACTGCCTCCAGCTACACAGGACATTTTCAAGTTCGCTTAGTGCACAGATTCTCTCTCTCTCTTCCTCCCCTCCTCCTCCCTCTCTCTGCCCCCTCTCCCCACCCTCTCGACTAGGGGGTCTTTGCACTAACCTGCTTATTGCCTTGTCCCAAGCCTTGCAAGCCTTGTCCCGGTTTTTTGCAGGCAGGCTCCTAACTTCTGAGCCTAAAGGTCACTGCAGAGACACTCTTCCCCGACAGAGCTATCTGAAGTGGGTTCTACTCAGCTGCTTTTTTTTTTTTTTTTTTTTTTGCTTGGTCGCACTTCCCACTTGCAGGCAGCGATGGTGTTTATGTTTAGGTGCTATGTCTGTGTGTTGATGATTAAGGTCATCGCCCGGTCCCCAGGGCCTGTGTTTGTCGCCCACCTGTTTAAGCTCTGCACACAGCTGCAGGCCCCACAACACAGGACACTGCTGCAGTTTCCTGCTGGGGATGCCGACCCAGCCCCCCACTAGCTGAGTGACTTCCTCCAACCACAGACAGATGTGACCCGCAGCCTCAGATGACCCAGATTCCGCGGAGCCGGTCAGTGGGAAGCCAGGTTCCTCTGCCACCTTCCAGCCAGGTGACTGCTCCCAAAGCCTGCTCACCACGTAGCCCCCCCAGCTCGGGTTCTCCACCCCAACAGCATCTGCCGCCTCCCCGAGAAACTACAATTCCCAGCAGGCGCGGGAGGACACCCCCAGCTCCCAGCGCGCTCTTAGGCGCGCCTGCCCCTGGCATTAATACTTCAGTTCCTGCAGCCCGGCAGCGAGCCGGACTGTACGCAGGTACCGCGGGACCGAGGCAGGGAGATGCGGGCGGGCGCAGTGGGGCTGATGAGGGTGGGATCTGGGGGTTCTGGAAGGAAGGGATCCGGAGTTAACCGAGAAAGAGCCGCAGTTGTGGAGAGGGCGGGCCATAGAGCGCCGTCCCTCACAAAACTAGGAATCTGGTCGTTCGCCTTTTTCCGCAAAACGAATGTTTTCCGGACCCACCTGGCCCAGGTGGCGCTGAGCGGGTGGAGGGCGAGGTAACCGCGTCAGTGAACACCATCCCCCTCCGCCGCCCCAACATCCATCTTCGCCTCCAATCCCGAAACGTCAGGGAGCAGAGGAAAGTGGCGAAGGAAGAAGGTGAGGGCGTTGAGTTCGTTTCCTTGGGGACCGAGGCGCTGAAGTGCGCCTTCCCTTCCGGATTCCCCAGACCACGGCTCAGAGCTCGGGGAGCCCCTCCTGGCGCCCCGCCCCCCCACCTGCTGAGCTGGGGGAAGCCGGCGCCCGCGCGATAGTGGCCTTCACTCCGCCTAGTCCTGGCTCCAGCCCTGACCCGAGCGCGGCCGCTTCCTGGCCCGCGGGTGGTGGCAGGCTCTTGGCTGACTGCTAGCTGGCCTCATTCCTTCAGTCTAAGCGGTGGGGTGATGAGCGAGCAGAGCTCACTCCTGGCTGGGAGCGCAGGAAGGGACACCCTCAGACAACAAGAGCCTTTCAGATTGTGGGAGGGCAAAGGGGGAGAGGGGAAGAGCAAGTGACTCGGGCAGCCTGGGTCCAGCAAGGGTGTGGACTGTATTCTAAAAGCCCCGGTGGGCTCGGTTCCTGTAGCTCAGCGGCTACGGCGCCAGCCACATACACCGAGCTGCCGGGTTCGAACCCAGCCCGGGCCTGCCAAACAACAATGACAGCTGCAGCCTATTCCCAGCTACTTCGGAGGCTGAAGCAAGAGCATCGCTTAAGCCCAAGAGTTTGAGGGTGCTGTGAGCTGTGATGCCATTGGCACTCCACCAGGCAATATAGTAAAACTGTTCTCAAAATAAACAAATAAATAAAAGCACCCCTGCTAGACCTTGGAGGGAAGGTATTAATGAGTAAGGCAGAGGCCTGCTGTCCCTACCTTTTCTTCCAGCACTCAGGGCTTTACCAGCACTTGGGAGTGTGTGTGGGGGAGGGACTGGAAGGGGGGAGAGGGGCAGTGGCAGAGGTGTGAGCAACTGTGACCAGGCCAGCCCTTTCCTGCCAGTCCAGCTGGGCACATTCCCCTGTGATCCTGAGCTCTGCTTTGTAAAAATGGGGGTCATGAGCACTGGTTCAACCTGCTGTCACTGTCCTCCCCCACAGGACCCTGCCACACTTCCCACAGAATGCCAGAGGGCCCTGAGGTACACCTGGCCAGCCACTTTGTGAATGAGGCATGCGGAGGGCTGGTGTTCGGAGGGTGTGTGGAGAAGTCTCCCATCAGCCGCAACCCCGAAGTGCCTTTTGAGAGCACTGCCTACTGTATCTCAGCTTCGGCTCGTGGCAAGGAGCTGCGCCTGACACTGAGTCCTCTGCCTGGGGCGCAGCCCCCACAGGAGCCACTGGCCCTCGTCTTCCGCTTTGGCATGTCTGGCTCCTTCCAGTTGGTGCCCGGAGATGCGCTGCCACCCCATGCCCATCTGCGCTTTTACACGGCTCCACCTGGCCCCCGGCTTGCCCTGTGTTTTGTGGACATCCGCCGCTTTGGTCGCTGGGACCTGGGGGGCGAGTGGCAGCTGGACCGGGGACCCTGTGTCTTGCTGGAATATGAACAGTTCAGGTAGGCCCAGCACCAGGTGGGAATGAACACAGGTCTGATCTCCAGGCCTGGCTCTGTTAGTGCCTTGTTGGCCAACAGTGAATCCCAGCCCTCTCTGGGCCTGTCTTCTCATCTGTGTCTCTGCCTTGGGTCAGCTCCTTGAACCAACAGACATGTAAATTCAAAATTGATGTGGGAAAAGAGATGAAGAGCCAAGAGGAGGCTGGGTAGACACTGCCTTGAGGACTTATAGCCTGTTAGTGTCAATGATGATGTCAGGACCTAGAATTCCACGTGGCCTCTTGGTGCCCCCAGGAGACTAAGATAAGGTGGACGGGCCTTAACAACACAGTAAGAAAGAGTGGTGCCTGCGGCTCAGTGAGTAGGGCGCCGGCCCCATATACTGAGGGTGGCAGGTTCAAACCTGGCCCTGGCTAAACTACCTGTGGTCCCAGCTACTCGGGAGGCTGAGGCAAGAGAGTCCCCTCAGTTGCCGTGAGCTATGATGCCATGGCACTCTACCGAGGGCAACAAAGTGAGACTCTGTGTCTAAAAAAAAAAAAAACAACAACAACAACACACTAGGCTCAGTGCCTGTGGCTCAAGTGGCTAAGGCACCAGCCACATATACCTAAGGTGGCGGGTTCAAATCCAGCCTGGGCACCAAACAACGACAGCTGCAACCAAAAAATAGCCGGGCGTTGTGGCGGGCGCCTGTGGTCCCAGCTACTTGGGAGACTGAGGCAGGAGACTCGCTTGAGCCCAAGAGTTGGAGGGTGCTGTGAGCTGTGATGCCACAGCACTCTACCTAGGGGGACAGCTTGAGGCTCTGTCTCAAAAAAAAAAAAAAAAGAAAGAAACAACACACTAAGAAGTAAAGGCTGGGCTGGCTTGGTGGCTCACATCTATAATCCTAGCACTCTGGAAGGCTGAGGTGGGAGGATCATTGAGGCCAGGAGTTTGAGACCAGCCTGAGCAAGAGTGAGACCCTGTCTCCACTAAAAATAGAAAACTTAGCTAGGTACAGTGGCATGTGCCTATAGTCCCAGCTACACTGGGAGGCTAAGCCTAAGGAGCCTAAGGAGGCTAATTGCATTAGCCCAGGAGTTTGAGGTGCTATGAACTGTGACACCACTGTACTCTAACCTGATCAGCAGAATAAGACCCTGTCTCAAAAAAAAAAAAAAAAAAGAAGCCTGAACAGCAATTGTTTCAAGGAGTGGGTAGGGAACTGCCTACGACCTGGTTTTTGGTGGGCTTGCACATACTGCCTGCCCATTAGTCTGTGTCCTATGGTCTCCTTTGTGACTGTTTCCTGCCTGCAGGAGGGTATAACAGTCCCATCTGGGATGTGACACGGGTTACTTAAGACCTACAGTAATACCAACTTCCTTTCCTCTGCAGAGGAAATATGTATGAGTCTCTGCTTTGTGCCAGGCCTTGTTCTAGGTGCTGGGGGTACAGCAGTGAGCATAGAACTGATGCTTGGACAAGGGAGGGGGTAGGGCAGAGAAACAAATAAGATGAACTCAAATGGACACATGCCTGAGGAAAAGTCCAACAGGCAAAGAAGGTGAAGGTAGAGAGTTACTTTTTTGGGGGGGGAGCAGAGGGCAAATTAGAATGGCCACTCTTAGAGGGTGACATTTGAGCTGTGACCTGACTGATGAGAAGCAGCCAGCTAGGCAGAGCTGTAGAGGAAATATTCTTATGGGCAAGAATCATAGACACAAGGCCTAGAGTGGACTCACCAAGTTCTCACTTCCTGGGGGACACTGTGCCTTTATTTGCCTGTGGGATGGGTCAGAGATCTGTCACCACAGAACACAGTTGACTCCTGACCTCAGGCCTGAACCCCAAGTGCATCCCCATGGAAATGTCTGTCCCTGTTCTTGGATTTCTCACTTTACCTTTCCTAGGGAGTCAGGTAGAAGGCTAACTGCCAGCTGACTCTGAAGAGCACTTTGGCTGTTTTCTTATTCCTGCAGCTGGGGACGTGTGGTGGTCTATGCCCCTCAGGGATTAGAGCACCATCCAGGCTACCCTTCCACTTCTATCTTTACTCCAGAAACTCTGGCTTCTGGTCCCTTCATCAATTCTCTTCATGGTGGTGAGGAGAGACCCATGACCCTTGGAAGTCGGGTAGGGGCAGCTGGGGCACTCACTAGCCAGGACTCAGCCCTACACACCTGCTGCACAGAGCCAGTCTTCAGAGTATTGAGAAGAGTGGAACCCACCAATGTCAAATCTACATGTGTGCCAGAGCTGGTGGCTCACACCTATAATCCTAGCACCCAGCAAGGGGGCGGGGGGAGGATGGCTTGCGCTCAGGAGTTTGAGTCCAACCTGAGCAAGAGCCAGACCCCGTCTCTACTAAAAATAGAAAAATTAGCAGGGCAAGGTTGTGGGTGTCTGTAGTCCCAGCTACTTGGGAGGTTGAGGTAAGAGGATTGCTTTAAGCCAGGAGTTTTGAGGTTGGAGTGAGCTGTGTCATGCCATGGCACTCTAGCCCCAGCAACAGAATAAGACCCTATCTCACAAAAGAAAAAATCCACTTGTGGTTTCTAACCCACTCTGAATCCTAGACAGGGAGTTCAGACTACAGACACATCTGAGGTCCTGTGATTACCTTGTTCTCAAAAGTGTCCCGAGAAATCTCTGAGGCACTTTGGTAATGAACACAACTACATATACAGACTCATACGTGTTCCCTTGAATACGTTTGCTTTTCATCAGTATTTTTCACTTTTCACAATGAATTTAAATCCTGCATCATTCCCATTTAACAGATAGGAAAACAGAGGCAAACAGAGGGGGATCTGGGACTTGCAGTTTCCTTCCCCTTGTACCTAGAAACAAGTTCTCTCAGTCCTTCTACCCCATCCCACGGAGGGTGAGGGGGAGAATAAGTCCCAGGCACCCACACTGTGTCCTTCCAGAGAAAATGTGCTGCGAAACCTAGCAGACAAAGCCTTTGACCGGCCCATCTGCGAGGCCCTCCTGGACCAGAGGTTCTTCAATGGCATTGGCAACTATCTGCGGGCAGAGATCCTGTTCCGGTCAGTGGGCAGGTGGTGGGCATGAGGGCAAAGGTGAGCCAGGTGTGCCCACCTTCCCCACTACTTAGTAAAACTTAGTAAAACTCCCTGTCCCTACCCAGGCTGAGGATTCCCCCCTTTGAGAAGGCTCGTACAGTTCTGGAGGCCCTGCAGCAGCGCAGGCTGGTGAGGAGACAGCGATGGCGTACATGTGTGGGCACACTGGTGTTGACATGACTGGCAAGGGGTCGGGTTGAGTAAAGTGTCTCCAGCTTAACAATGGGTGGGGGGTGAGGGGAGGACAAAGACCCTAAGGTACCACCTAGCTCAAAGGGGAGATCTGCTGCCTTCTGAGTGGCACTGCTCCTTGCTGATAACCAGGTCCTGGCCCTTGCCCCTTCCTCAGAGCCCGGAGCTGACCCTAAGCCAGAAGATCAGGGCCAAGCTGCAGAACCCGGACCTGCTGGAGCTGTGCCACTCAGTGCCCAAGGAAGTGGTCCAGCTGGGTGAGACCTGGAGAAACAAAGATGGCAACCACCTCGTTTCAGCACATTGAAAAAGAACCTGGGGCCGTTGTTGTCCCTCTCTGGGCCTGACTCCCCACGTGGGGAATGGGTGTTTATAGTCCTAGTTGCTGCTGAATGGACTAGGCCTCCTCACTTGTCAAAGGTCTATTTCCCTTGAGCAGCCCATGAGACAGGAGAGTCTGAAACCCAGTCTAGCATAGGGAAGTCATGGCCCAGAGGGGGAAGACACCAGCCTAGGTCACACAGGGAGGAGGGAGAGCTTGGCCCCTGACTTAGTCCATCAGCTTGTGTAGCTGAAGTCTGAGCCAGGTCTGACCCAGCTTCTCACTCCTCCTTACCTGCGTCTTCCTTCCAATCTTTGCCTGTTCCTCTGTCCCACAGGGGGCAAAGGCTATGGGCCAGAGAGTGGGGAGGAAGACTTTGCTGCCTTTAGAGCCTGGCTGCAGTGCTATGGTGTGCCGGGCATGAGCTCCTTGCGGGATAGGCATGGCCGCACCATCTGGTTCCAGGTTTGAGCCTTTCTGCTCACACAAGGAAATAAAGACCCCAGGGAAGCTTGTGGGGTGGGGTCGTGTGGTTGCAGCAGGGCAGGAAATAGGGTCTTTTCCAGGTGGAGATGCCCAGAACCTACCTAGGTCTCCCACAGGTCAACACTGCTGGGGGTCATACTATTCCCCTCCCATCCTTTGAGTTCCAGGTTGACTCTGACATCGGAGATCTCAGTTTCCTTCCCCTTGTATCCTAGAAATAGGTTCTCTTAGCTGCTCTCCCTTATCCCATGAGGGTGGAAATAGGTTTCATGTACCCAGGCTGTGTCCCTGTAGGGAAAATGTTCTTGGGAACCTAGTGGACAGGGTTCCTGGTTGGAGTTATATGGGAGTCCTGCATCTCCAAGGAACACTGCCCTAGCCTCAACCTGGGGTGATTCCTTAACTGTCCCCATTCCATTTTAGGGGGATCCTGGACCCCTGGCACCCAAAGGTAAGCTACTCCTAATGTAAGAGCTAAGAGAACAGAAAGGACTTCTTGTCTGCAAGGGCTCTAGCCCCCTCTTTTCCACCAGCCCCCTCCAGCCCTGGGCACCCCCAGGCAGAGGGGGAGTCTGGAGAAAGGGCCTTAGCCTATAGGACTCTCCAACTACAGCACAAATGTCCTGCAGGGTGCAAGTCCCGCCAAAAGAAATCCAAGGCAACACAGCTAAGTCCTGAGGACAGAGTGGAGGTACGTCTGCCTGCTCTGCCCCAGCACTTTCCTGCCCAGGCTGTGGGCAGCTGTCTTCCCCTGAGAAGGGGCATGGTGGGCCATAATCAACCTCTGAACTGCTCTCTGAGCCCCTCAGACATCTGTGTCTCTTCTACCCAGGACCCTCCACCTCCAAGGAGGACCTCTGCCAGGATACAAAAGACACAGAGAGACCTTCCTGAGAAGACTACAACCCAGCAGCCTGAAGGGTCCAGCCTCCAACAGGACCCAGGAGCTTTCACAGTCCCTAACAAAGGGAGGAAGAAGAGGCGACAGGCCACTACTGGTAGGCTCTCCTTAGCATCCACCTCTGGGGAAGGAAGGGGCACCACAGATACTGGCCCTTCAGGAGAGGTTGGAATGACAGTGTAGGACCACGTGGACAAAGGCGGGAGAAAGGCCATCAGGTTAGCCTGGCCTGAGAGTCTGAGCTGACTATCTCATCTGCTTTCTCCCAGGCCATCGCAGACTGCAGAAGATTAAGGGTGATACCCCATCCTCAGAACCAGAGGGGACCTCAGCCTCTTAGCCAGAGAGTCTTGCTTGCATCTGCCCCTTTCTTGCTATCTTGCTTTGTGAACCTAGGGGCCCATTTGACTACCTAGAAGCAAGCAGTATTTGAAAGGGGGGCTGTATGCCTCGGGCCAAATGACTGTTACTTGCACAACTGTGATGTTTTGTTTTGTTGCAGTTTTTTTTTTTGACCAGGGTGGGGTTTGAACCCACCACCTCTGGTATATGGGGCCGGCGCCCTACTTCTTTGAGCCACAGGCACTGCCCATGTTTTTATTGTACCCAACCTTCCATATTTTTAAAGCCCATGGGAAAATGCTGTGTTTTCCATAAACTGATAAATTTGAACATTTTGGCACTTCTTGGACTGGCTGCATAAGGTCTGAGATGGCCAGGTTGGGAGGGCTTGCTGCCTAGCTCCAGTGACAGGAGGCCTGTCCCTTTAGCAGGGCACACTGAGCCCCCATCCTAGACCTCAAGGTTCTGGCTAGTGAAGGACAGCCCCTCAGAGGTGATGCAATAACCTTGGCTCCAAGCAGCCTAGGTACCTAAGCTCCTCCAGTCCAGCATTCTCCAGGGCCTGTGGCTGATCTGCCATCCGGCCAGAATGTACCCTCAGCCTCCTCTCCAGCCCCACACAGGGGAAGCCCTTCTTATCTCATGGTCTCCAGCCAGCTTGTGGTCACCCAAAATCCTCAATCTCTCTTGTAGGAGCTATAGCCCAGACCCTGCACACACCAGTACCTCTCCCCCAAACTCCTAGGCCTGAGGGTATACACTAAGAAGGAGTGAGGGGAGCTACCAGCATGGTTCCTGATGGGTAGGTTTATTATACAAGAGGCAACTCATCTGTGCTTCAGGCTGGGGAGGCAGAAATGAGGAGTCCCCAGAGCCTTCCACAGACAAGACCCCACCTTTGGGGACTCAGTTTGGGGGAGGCTGAAGCACGAGCAACAGAGACTGCACTTGAAAGGGAGAGAAGGTGAGCTTCAGGCGGTTGTCCCGAAGTGGCAAGTGCCCAGTAGGGTCTCGCTGCTCCAGAAGATTGCAGCTGGAGAACAGGAGGGGCAGTGAGGTCCTGTGAAGGCAGGATTCCTACTCCCACCCGCAACCGGCGCTGAGACTCACAGAATCGCCTCCTGAACAGGCAGCGATGTGTGTAGCCAGCAGTCCACGTGGCAGCCATAGGCCTCATACAACCTCAGGACCAGTGTGCGGCTGTGGGTGCTGGTCTCCGCCTGCAGGGGTTGGGGTGGAGAGGCGGGCGGTGGGTGGGGCCTGGAGGTAGGCGGTGTCAGGCGGCCTCAGACCGGAAACCCACGGGCTCGCCCACGTGCCCCGCCTGCCTCTTGCCTGCTTGACGGTCTCCAACACGACTTCGGGCGAGGACAGGGAAAAGGCACTCCAGGAGGTGGCAGGCGCTGGGCCCGGGACTGGCAGCGCCAACAGGGGAAAGTTGAGGCTATAGGCAGCACGGATAACTCCAGCGTCTTGAAAGGATCCTGGAGTACGACCGGAAAGCGTGGCTGGTGAAGAATGGGGTTTCCTTCCCAAGCCCCTAGAGGGGCACAGGGCCAGGCTGCTAGTTTCGGCTCAGAGAAGGGCAAAGGAGAGCTGTAGGAGAGCCCCACGGTCTTCAGCACTCACCCTTGTGTGGCATCAGTGCATAGGTGAACTCATGACGCCCCATGTCAGCAGTGGCATCAGGGGCCTTAGGTGCCCGCAAGCTGAGATGAGGATGGAGGATATGGACCAAGCTGAAGCTACTGAGTTCCACCCCAAGAAGACCCACACCCTCAGGCCAGCTCCCAGGCCAGCTGGGTACCCACTCACAGGGAGAGGCTGAGGACGCTGCCTCGCACTGACGCGCCATACTTGCAGTCATTGAGCAGGGCCAGCCCAAAGCCATGCTCTGACAGATCCATCCAGCGGTGGGCCCACACCTGGAAGGCAGATTCGAGACCCACTTGGTGGCCCTGTGCCCTTTCTTTTGCTCCCAAATTCCAGACTTCCTCACTACTGTGAGGACAAGCTCTGGAACCACAAGACTGAATTCCAGCTCCCACTTTAGGAGGCCCTAGGCATGCCACCCAACCTGCATAAGCCTCATTTGTAAAATGGGAATAAGAAATAGTACTCACCCCACCATATGGTCATGAGTATCAAACTGAGTGGAAAGCCCAATGCCTGGCATTAAGCCTAATGCTTAACATATTAGGCATGGCACATATGTCATCCTCCTCCTCCCCACCCCACCATTATTTTCTCTCTAGTCTGGGAGGAGGAGTCCAAGCCCATCTGCCACTCCCCGCCATGTCAAACCTCAAATCGAGCCCAGTCCCAAGAGGTGTTGTAATGAGTGGGTCGCTGCAGGTGGCCAAACTGGATCTCATAGGTGGCCTGGGAACTCCGCACACGGGCAGGAAACTCTACCTTCAGGAACTTGTGGGCCTCATGCCAGTGCACCTGGAGGTGGAATGGAAGGTGGGGGTGAAGAACAAAGGGCTGGCCCCTATTCGCCAGGCACTCATGGGGAAGATAACCACCACCCTACCCTGACCTGCCCCTCTGCTACCTCGGTGTGGAAGCGGACATAGGGGCAGCCAACATCCAGCACCACCTCCTGGCTGAGGCGGCTGTTGGGGGTGATCTGCAGTAAGAACCAGGCACTGCCCCGCAGGCCGCCCTCAGTGCCCACTGCCAGGGTCCCTGCTTGGCCCAGCACAGGCTTCCTATGGGATAGGGAGGGAGGCACTGAGGCAGGGCAGCTTGTATTCCCACCATCCCGCTACCCCCAAGTCCTGTCCAGCCCATACCGGGTCTCTAGGTGATAGTCCATGACATCCCAAGCATCCCAATACAAAGGCACATCATCAAACAGCACAAATTGGTTCCCTACAGCACCCTCAGCAATGGCCTCCCTGGAAAGACATGGGGATCAGTGCATTACAACCATGTAACTTCAACCCTTCTAGTTGCTTATGGTGGGGTGGTACAGGCGACCCAGGCAACAGAGGACTCAAGCCCACCCTGCCCTGTTCTGTGTGAGCCACAGCCCAGTGCCACTGGTAGGCTGCTGTGGGCAGTGTTGTGGTCATGAGACAGAGGAAACAACGTCTGGGACCTACTAGGCTAGGCACTGGGAAAGTGTAGTGAGGAGTTGGCACCTGCCAGAGGCCACCAGGACCAGGGACGTCAGCCGGCCAGTTGGGTCCAGCCTCACCCGGATAATGCCGTTGTCCAGAGTCACGGAACCATCAGTCTTGGTGAAAGGGGGCCATGAGGCTGAGTTTGTAGGAACTTCCCACAACCAACTCACTCCCATCTCCAGCCCCACCCCACATTGCCACTTGCTCCATGTTGGAGTTCAGGCTCCCCAAGATGTTAGTTAGGAGCACCCCAGGACAGTCCTTGTCCCCCAAGACTTGCTGGGACTCACCTCTTGCACTACAAACACAGGCTGCTGGGGCAGTAGGGGCTGCACTGAAGTGGGGGCAGGAACAGGAGCATAGCCCATGCTGGGCACCGTCACCAGGGCTGGGGGGTGAGGCCTAGGCATCAGCACAGCCTCCTGACCTTCCTGGAACCTCACTCAAGTAGGGGTCAGGATGGTGGAGGCTGTGACTACTATATTCCAGCCTGGAGCACCCAAAGACAGCAATCCCCAGGGGTGTCCCTGACTTCATCAGTCGGGCCCTGATCCCTCCTGATGTAGTAGCAACCCTTCCCCTTGGCTCATACCTAGGCTGTGGGCCCCACCGGGCTTGGGCAGGGCCAACACTTCAGTGCGCTTCCAGGGCAGTGTGTTGACAATGAGGAGGCCCTCAGGACCTGGTTCCCCAGCACACAGGGCTGTGGCTGCAGTGCTGAGCAGAGTATTGCCATGGGAACGAATGTCTGAGGAGAGACTAGCTGGAGTAGGCAATGGGTCTGCGATGACCCCTGAGTGTCCCATAGGGGACTCTCTGGGCTCAGTCCTAAGGTTAGAGAGAGTGGTGGGATTGTTGTCAGCCTCACCTGCATAGTGGCACATGGAATCCTCTGCCACCAGCTGGATACAGCTTCCAGTCACCACATCATGAAACTGGTTCAGAAGCAAGAGCCTGCAGGGACCAAGGGCAGGGATGGGGAAGCCTGGGAGAGACAGCCACAGAAGCAACTAGGGTGAAAGGTCAGGTGGGTGGGAGGGGGCAGAAGCCAGGCTGACCTCCAGAGGTGTTGCAGCTGGGCTGCAGGGTACTGGAACTGGGTGCTGCGGGCCAGGGCCAGGCTACTGAGCAGCTCCACGTCATGTAGGATCCGCTCACACTCCCGGTTCCCCTTCTTAATCTGAGCCCAGGCAGGAAGATCAGTCTGGAGTCTGCTCAAACATCCTGGGATGGCTTTCAAAGCTCTCCCTTGCTCAGAACCCCTGAGGGCTCCCCAGGGCCTTCTGGATGAGGCCACTTGTGGGTGACCTGACTCAAATGCCCTCCCTCCTCTCCCCTCAGCCCAAACCCTCTTTCTTTAGGGATGCTCAGTGGTGCCTTCTCCAAGCTCCTCATTGGAACATGAGCCTCTTCCCCCAGGATCTGGGCTGGCTCTCTCCCTCCTTCTCTGACCCTCTGCAGACCAAGGGTGCACCCTCCCTGCTTGGCTCCACAGCCTCCCCTGAACCTGGGCGTGGGTGGTGTAGGTGCCATTGTGCAGCTCCAGGAAGAGCTCCCCGACCCATGTGCACAGATGCCCCGAGTCACTCTCCAGTGCTGAGAAGAGCCGCTTTGGAGAAGACAGCTGCACCCTGAGGGAAACCACAAGCGTGGGTCTCCCAACCTTGGGGACCACATGGCTCACCTTCTTCCATGCCAGAGCAGACAAAAGATCTCCCAAAAGAGAAGAACTATTCTAGAAAGCTCCCCATCTACATAGTGCCAACCCTGGATACCCCAGAAGAGTTGCTCTCTCTGGTGGATTCAAGCTTCTTCCTCTTCCCACTCTCAGCTTTCCCCTTACCACCCTCAGGGCAGGAGTTTGGAGGAGCCAGTGGTCCAGGATTAGAGCAAGACCAGGCCCAGAAGAGGATTTTGCCCTACTGTCTGAGTGGAAGGCAGGGCTCCTAGCATGGGCTAAGGGCTGCTGGAGGCCTAGACTGACCTGGGCAGCCCATCTGTGTTGCCCAGCCTCTTCAAGCGGTCCAGCATGGTCTGGGTAGGGCCACCGCCCCCGTCCCCAAAACCAAAGAGGAAGGCACTGTGGTTAGTCCTCCCCTTGTCCCGATTATTGGCCACAGTCTTCAGCACCTGGACAGGTAGGGGCAGGTCAGCATGGGTCAGCCTAGTACAGGCCAGCCCTCTCCAGACTGCCCCCCTCCAAGTATCTCCTCACCTCCTCCACGCTGCCCTGCATCCCATAGGAGTCGCCAGGTGGAAAGTGGACCAGTACACGGGAGCCGTCCAGCCCCTCCCAGAAAAAGGTATGGTGCTGTTGGCAGGGAAATACACAGGGGAGAGCGGCCAGAGTCAGGGCTGAGGCAGATCTGGTCCTGCCCCTGCCTGCAGTGTGACCCTGCTGGAGGCCTACCCTCTTTGGGCAGGGGTTTGGTGGTTTGTCCAGGACTCCTCAAATGAGCCTTGGGAGAGATAAGTGGGCCATGTGGGACCAAGGCTGACTCTCATCCTGATGCCCTGGGGTCTACTCACCGGAAAGGAGTTAACCAAGTTCCAGCTCAATTTCTGGGTCAGAAAGTGCCTGATGCCACAGCCACGCATGATCTGGGGGAGCTGCGCTGAGTAGCCAAATGTGTCCGGCAGCCAGAACTGTATGGAAGAAGGCCGTGGAGGATGGGAACCAGGGGTTTGGTTGGAGTCACCCCAGTCTCAGCTCCTCAAGACTCTGGGTCAAGCAGAGCCACCCACCCACACCCTGGTGTAGCAACTCCCAGCCTACCTCAGAGCACATCTTCCCAAATTCCTGCAGAAAGAAGTTCTGGCCCTGCAGGAACTGCCTGACCATAGCCTCTCCGCTGGGCAGGTTCCCATCCTGGTAGTGAGGAAGGAGGGACAGCCCAGGTAAGATGGGAAACAGGCAGTTCAGGCCAGCCCCCACTCCCAGGAGGTACCAGGGCTGCTCTGACATAAGAGTTACAGCCAGGCCCAGCAAGTGTCCCACTCCTCGCTTCAGGCCTGACTATCCATTTGCCTGAGCAAGAGGCCTGAGACCAGCCATGCTGGAGACATTCTCCTCCTTGGAGTGTCAGGCCTTGGGGTTCCAGGGACTAATGAGCCCTGTCACAAAAGGGACAGAAAGTCACCAGCTTAGCCTGGGGGCCTGGCCCCATGAGGGAAGGCCATAGCTACATAGATGGAGGTCGAGGAAGTGCTGAATGCTCTTACCATCTCCACCCAGGTGCCCCCCACAGGTACAAACTGCCCACGGCAGGCAAACTCCTGGAGCTGGGAGTGCAGCCCAGGGTAGTGGCTCTTCACCCACTCAAGCTGCTGCGCCTGTGGGGAAGGTGGGGTGGGAGGTAAGTCAGAAATGATGAGGACCCTACCTAGTACTGAGCATTTAGGGCACAGTGGGTGGCTGAGGGTGAGGAACAGACCTGTCCCTCAGGCCTGAGAAATCCTCAGAACCAGTTGAGTTCCAGGGAGTACCAGGTGTTTGCCCTGCCCCCACATAGCTGTCCCACTGACCTGGGAGCAGGCAAAGATGAACTCAGGGTTCTGTTTCATGAGCTGCATGGCTGTCACCCAGCTCCGGGCACATTTCCTTATGGTCTCCTTGAAGGGCCAAAGCCAGGCTAGATGATGGGATTGGTGGAGCGGAGGGTAGAGGAAGCAGCAAGGTACCAACAGGTCCCCAGCCTCACCCCTACCCCAGCATCCTGACTAGGCCCAGACTGGGACTCCAGAGGGTCACCTGGCCTTCCTCCCATCCCTCTGGAAAGCCCTATGACATCTCTCCTGAGCAGTTACTTCAAACCACTCCTGCAAAGGGGGAGGAGGAGATTGGGAAAGGAGGCCAGCTGGTTCAATTCTACAGGTCAGGAAATGGAGGCCCTTGGCCCAGGAATGGCCTTAGTCTGAGGCTGAGATACGCCCCCAGAGGATCCCATCAGAGGCAAAACAAATTACCCTGCCTTTGCACACACTGAGGATACCCTAAAAGAGGGGGCACAGTTTCCAGGATGGACTTGTCTGGGCCAGCTGACCCCAGAACTCACATCCTACCCCACATCTCGGCACAGGAGAAGATAGCCCTCATTCTGCAATTCAGAAACTTTACTTGTATCACGCTCAATAGCTTGGGGAGCTTGTTAGACATGTGGCTCTCTCATAAGCCTCACAGTTTGAGCTCCCAGCTCAATAATCCCCCTCCTCTCTGAGAAATTGGGCACTGTTGTAAAGTCCTACTCATTCTTACTCAGTTCAAGGTTACCTTGTTCAGGAAGCTTCTCTGGAATCCCTCTGATCTAGCTGAGAGTTAAGTGACTCTTCTGGATTCCCTAGCCTCCCACACTTATCTTCACTGTAGCACCACCTATGTCTGCCAATTCTGCGATCACCAGTCTCTGGAATCCTACCCTCCACCCCCGTGTCTAGTATGGGACCTCCTGAGGCATCAGATTTTGTCACGAAAATAAATGAAGCTGTAGCTAGCAGATCCTACAGTCCAGTCCTCCAGCCCCATCTTACAGATGGAGAAAAACAGAGGCCAAGAGGGGCAGGAACTTGTTGACGATCCCATGGGGCTTCTAAGCCAAAGCCAGGGCTTCCAGGGCATTCCTGCCTCCCCAGCCCCCCCAACTGCCGGCCTACCTGTATCAATGTGGCAGTGCCCTATGGCATGGATAGTGTGTTGGCTTTCACCACCACGTTGGCCAAAGAACTGGGAGGCCAGGGCCTGGGCCAGTGGGAAGGTCTCAGGCTTGGCAGGGTCACACACATTCACCATCTGGTTAGCTGTGTACAAGGCCTGGAAGCTGCGCTGGTTATCTTCCCCGAGGCCCTGCAGCAAAGTTCTGCCCCTTAACTCCTCTCTTAAGCACAGCCTCCAGAACTAGGCCTGGAGGATCTCTCAAGATTCTCAGCAGAGCTTCCCCCAACTCCAACCCTTTATTCTTGCTGCCTTCTGCTCAGCACCATTTCCCTCCTCCCCTTACACAGGAAATCCTCTCTCCCTCAGGCAGGCATAAACTGTCTTCCTACTCTGGATTCTGAGTCCCACTTACTTGACCCAAGAAACAACCAGCCTAGAGAAGAGATCTAGAGGATGACAGGGGAACAGAGGGCGTTGAGTACCTTGGCTATGCCCAGCAGCAGCTCCAGATCCACCAGGAGCTTGTGGACATCCCTGTAGAACACAGCCAGCTCGGCCCGGCTCAGCTGGAATGACTTCTCAGGATCGGGAGCTGCAATCATGCTTCCCTTCCCAGCACCCAGGAGCCCATTGCAGGCCACTTCCACATAGAGGGTCAGGCTACAAACATGAGGAAGCAGCCTCAGGCCAAGGAACCAGCAGAGGACTTTGAGGACTTGGGGAGGGGCACCAGGTGGCATCCATTTCATCCCTCCTTATTCGCCTCCAGGATCTACCACCTAGAAGATCCTGGAGTGTGGCAGCTGTGCACATGTGTGGGTTGGTGAAGGTGGAAACACCAGACTAACCTTGCTAATGGGTGGTTTGCCTCAGTTAAGGAAAATAAGTAACAAAAGATATAACTATGTGTGAATTACACTGCTGTTTAGCTTTTTATTTTCAAAGCTGTCTCCACAAAACACTGCCTTGGTCTGGAAATCCTCTTTGTGTATATATATATATGTTTTTTTTTGAGACAGCGCCTCAAGCTGTTGCCCTGGGTAGAGTGCCGTTACATCATAGCTCACAGCAACCTCCAACTCCTGGGCTCAAGCGAGTCTCCTGCCTCTGCCTCCTAAGTAGCTGGGACCATAGGTGCCCACTACAACACCCAGCTATTTTTTGGTCGCAGCTATCATTGTTGTTTGGGCTAGATTCGAACCTGCCACCTTAGGTGTATGTGGCTGGTGCCTTAGCCACTTGAGCCACAGGCGCCGAGCCTCCCTTTTGTATATTAAAAGCATGTTTGGATCGCCTCTAGATCACCTTTTTTTTTTTTTCCTTTGAGATAGTCTCACTATGTTGTCCTTGGTAGAGTGCCCTGTGTCATAGCTCACAGCAACCTCCAACTCTTGGGCTTAAGTGATTCTGGTGCCTCAGTATCCCAAATAGCTGGGACTACAGGCTCCTGCCACAATGCCCGGCTATTTTTTGGTTGCAGTTGTCACTGTTGTTTAGCTGGCCTGGGCTGGGCTTGAACCTACCAGCCTCGGTCTATGTGGCTGGCGCCCTACTCACTGAGCTACGGGCACCTAGTCATCTCTACATCACCTTTTAATTTTCTTTTGAGACAAGAGTCTCATTCTGTCACTCTGGGTAGAGTGTCCTGGGTAGACTGCTGTGGAGTTATCATCATAGCTCATAGCAACCTTGAACTCCTAGGCTCAAGCAATCCTCATTCTTTGGCTTTTCTCTCTCTCTCTCTATTTTTTTTTAGTAGACAGGGGTCTTTTGCTCAGGCTGGTCTCAAACTCCTGAGCTTAAAGCAATCTACCCACCTCAGCCTCCCAGAGTCTTAGGATTACAGGCTCACCTTTTAGACCCAAGATCCATCAGCTGTGGTGAAGCTCTATTCAGGCTTCCTTAGGGAAGCTTCCCTGCCCCTCCACTAAGTCTAGAACAGATTTCTCACATGAGCTCTCAGTAATCTCTTTCGGGACCCTCATTATTTTTTGTAATTATATGAGTACATCTGTCTCCCTTTGCTGTTAAGGACTACATTATTAGCCACCATACTCCCAGTGTCTGGAGGCATCTGAAACACAGTGTTCAACACATATAAAACACCATGATGTCTAAAAAATATTTTTAATGGTGTCATAAATGCCCATGTTATAATATGGTATATAAAAAGGAAGCATGGCAGTGCTTGTAGCTCAGTGGGTAGGGCGCCAGCCACAAACACTGAGACTGGCAAGTTCGAACCCAGCCCAGGCTAGCAAGAACAACGACAACTGCAACAACAACAACAAAAATAGCCAGGTATTGTGGTGGGCACCTGTAGTCCCAGCTACTTGGGAGGCTGAGGCAAGAGAATCACTTAAGCCCAAGAGTCTGAGGTTGCTATGAGCTGTGATGCCACAGTAATCTACCCAGTACAACCGCTTGAGACTCTGTCTCAAAAGAAAAAAGTCAGGAAGCAAAATGTCAAAGAAATTCTCTTAGCTAATAAAAACTATGCCTGAAAGAAATGCTAATGGCCAGCATGGTGGCTCATGCCTATAATCCTAGCATTTTGGAGGCCAAGGCAGATGGACTGCTTGAGCTGAGGAGTTCAAGACCAGCCTGAGCAAGAGTGAAACACTGTCTCTAAAAATAGCTGGGCATTGTGGTGGGTGCCTGTGGTCCCAGCTACTCGGGAGGCTTGAGGCAAGAGGATTACTCCCAAGATTTGAGATTGCTGTGAGTTATGACACTCCACCTGGTGCAAAAAAGTGAGACTCTTTCTCAAAAAAAAAAAAAAAAAAAAAAAAAA